TGTCGGAAGAGCCATTTTCTCGTCAAGGATTCGGTCGGACAGCTTGTCTTTTTCATCATCTACTAACTGGATCTACCGTAGGGATTAATGAGAAATGGGGATGTCATCGTCATTTCGGTGAAGAGATGAGAGCGGAAGAAAAGAAAAGGAAGAAAAGGAAAGGAAGATAAGGGAAGGGATTGAAATGGAAGACAGTGCCTGTCGTCGCTTTCCATCCGGAAGCTGCGTTATTCCTTTATCCGGGGTGTTCTAAAAGTAACTTGAAAAAAAAAGCACTTTTTATTTATTTTTCCACCGCTGAGACTATGGATTTGAGTAATATAACCAGTTAAAAGGCTCAAATAACTTGTCGATGAGAAGTGCGGCATTATCTAGTTCTAATCCAAAGGTGGTGAAAGCGCTCTTCCGCGCGTCCCACATTTTTCCCGTGTTCGAGACGTCCTTGACACGCATGTGAATGCCATTAACCAGAATTACAAGGATTTCGCCACCTAAGCTCTCCACTACTTTAAAAGACACGAACAATTTAGGATTGCACACAATGATATTGAAAGTCTAGCCTGGTCACTCCCTCCCTCCCATTGCTTCCGCTCCCCGAGCGTCCATGTTAACGATAATTGTTTTTCTTTAGTGTGGTTCTTCAGGTCTACTCTTTCTTTCGTCCTAACATTTCAGTTATACATGTCTCATTTTATAATTTAGAAGTTCCCCTTTTACTATTCGAAATATTTCCCCCTCTTAGACAGCTGTTTCATTTCCCGTTTTTCCTTTTTGACCTCCGTATGGTGTAGGCTGTATTTCACGTTTTATTTTCTCCGTCATCCGTTATTGTCTGCTTTAAGGTCACCCTGGGTGAGGGAACTGGGACTTTTAATACTGCTAAAGTCTACTTTTCATATGGTAGCTATTACTTGCTCCATTTGGATGTCGCAATTTTATTTTATTAAGTCAACTTATACCTCCACGTAAGAATCGTCAGTAAATTTCCCTGAAGGGAACCCTAGTTTACTGTACAAGGTGTTCCAGGAAGGACGTGTGATGTTTGAAAAGTACTAACATAACGAGTTTTTATGATAAATGAATTCTGAGAGGTGGAAAACAAAGCCCATTTAGTCCTGTGTCCATGTTGCACAACGCCACATCCGATCTTTTCACGGTAATCCTTCGAATCGTCCACGATGTGTTACGCATGTGTTACACCTTTTTGGGAAATCGTTCATTGCTTTCCATCGAGTTACCATCGGCAATGGTAAATCTGGGAATGTGTTCTCAATGGCTGCAATCAGTTGTAGTTATGCAACCAACCCAGGGGAAATTAAGGATCGCTGTAAAAGATCGGATGTAGCATTTAGCCAAAGGGAAGCAGAAATAATGGGCCTCCTTTTTAATTCTCACATTTCCTTCATTTACGATGTTATTACTTTTCAAACATTTCAGTTCTTCCTTTCAAAGACACCCTGCTCTTCTTTCTTCTTCTGATCACACCCCTATCACTGTATCAATGTAACTAATAGCTGACTTTTTTAATACATTGATTGGATCTTTATTCGCTTGAAAAAATTGACAGGATCATAGTTTCGGCCAAACTTAAACTCGATGGAATCAAGTGAATCGTGATCGTGGGAATATAGGCCCAAGAAAAGACCATCTCATAAGCCCATGTCATAATCATCATCATCACAATCAGTTATTTCCGCTCCATGATTGTATGAATGGCTTGAACAATACACGCCGGTTTGGTCGATCCAATGCTTCGTTAATCCAATTCACCGCGATTAGTTATGAAATGCCTCTCCATCTCATTTTCTTTCGTCTTGGGTTTGAATCTCCCCGTTTTCGGTACGACTCGGCGACCTTTTTTGTTCATAATTGATGAGTTCTCAGCAAGGCCGGATAAAAGGAGGGGGGGGGGGCAAAGGGGGTTGTTGCCTCGGGCCCCACTCTTCTAAGAGGGCCCCCGAAGGAACTTAAAAACATTAAGTGTTTGCGTAAAGTGGGGGGGGGGGGGAGAGCCCCAAGAATCCACTTGCCCCGGGCCTCGTCACTTCTTAATCAGGCCTTGGTTCTCAGTAACCTGGAAATTTCCGCTTCCTCCCGTCTTGCATCCATAAACCAGTCGGGTTTACCCACGGGTCGAAGACCTATCGCTTCAGGCTGATGGGCCGTGTATTCGGTTTCATATACCTTATCGAGTGACGACTCCCCGAGATGAAATCGCCGACTACAGCCTGCCGATTGTTCAAATCACCGATTGATAATTCACCGAATCGCAAACTCACCGAATGCTCAACTTCCAAATAGCAGCCACCGAAATCGGCACAAAATGTGCTCACGCCCTAAAGGTGTTTTTACTGGGTTTATTTTTTTTAGCTTCATGACATTAAAATCCAGCCGATGACAACTGGAGCTAAACTGTAATAATAGAACTATGGGATAAGTGAAACGAATTCCTCCCCTGCCATGAACTCCGTTCCGTAAATAACAGAATTGTGAATAACAAGAAATCCAATCTGCCTTTTTCAACTGAAGTGCATCCATGTCCAAACTCAAAACGTGAATGGACAGTGTGCGCATTTCCACTCGAAATGATATATGATACCTAGTGGATCCTATATGACGATTCAGGCCAGCTAATTCAATTCCTTCAAAATCAGACCAAGAGGATGTAGTTCCTGTTGTAACTCCATGTCTTCAAGAATATCACTCTGTCGTTTTCCAAGCTGTCACTTCCCTTCTGGCGATGCATTTGGACATTAGTTTTTGGATTTGTTCGGATTAATCAGACTGTATTTAGCACGTAGATGATTCCGGTCAACCGACCTGAATTCATTGGGAAAATAAGCGGTGCGGAGTCACGATGAGAATCCTCTTTATTACTGAGGTCATTTTTGAAGGAATAAAAAAAATTCATAATTGCAGTCACCGAGGTCAAACTGGAAGCATATGAATTCCGATGACGCGGCCGTCTTCCTTCGCGCGTTCACAGCATCACGTGTCCCTTCAGGAATAAGAAACCTCCGCTTTCATGACGCTAAACCAAGTTCGCCTTTTCACAGCCGACCTAGCTCTCAAGTCTTTTTTCTTTCCTTCATTTTTATTTATTTACTTACGAGTCTTTGGCAATAGAGGCATCATTGCTCTTTAGTTTTATTTGCTGTCGTTAGTTTTCCTCAGCGACTCAAACTGTTGACTGATGCAGCTGGCTGAAAGAGTTTCTCTCTCGTTGACGTCTCGAGAATCTGCACTTCCACCCTTGCCTGACTCGGACTGGAATCTTCCGATTGCAATATCAGATTCACCTACACTTAACATCATTTCTCATCCGGAGTTATCCGGACTGATAAGTATGGTTCTCAGCAGTGTGTCCTAATGCCATCTACATCATGAGTCACACCGTGAAAAATATGGTCAGAAATTCCCAGGTTTTGACAGGAAACTTTTCTTCTGCGGCTTCCGTGGACTTCCCCCCCCCTGTAACAATCCTTGAGAAAAGACCAGTCCTTATCAATCAATGGTAAGTAAAAACCCTTGTGTAAACCTGGATATTTCTAGCTGTATCTTTTTTTTTACAGTTGCATCAACAGTCACATTTTGCTTTTGTCTTATTTTATCAGTCGACGTCCCCCCCCCTTTTTTTGCCGATCAATCTTGCAGATTTACGTTATTTAAAAAAGAAACACTGCTTTCCTCGTTCTTTTGAAGTGGATATGGCGGCTCTTTTTTTCCGTGATCACAGCAAATTCCGCATCGTTTAAAGTTCTCCTTTGTCTTCATCGATTCAGTATAAATTGCATTGGGGATTCTTGCAGGGGCCTCGACAGGATCATGAAGGAAAGATGGATGCAAGGGTGCAGTGGGGCTTGGGTCCGGGCCTACCCACTTTTAATGGTTCAGAGCGTCCAGGGACTTATTTTCCCCTTGATAAAATAAAATTTCATCGTATTTTAGCGACGCACCCTCCCTACGACCTCGTGATGAGAGTTTTCAAGCGTCAGGTGATTAGCGTTATCCGGTGGAAGCTCCCGCCCCCCCCCCCTACTGTAAGGCGCACAAAATACATCTTAAATAGGACAGCTCCCCTCTGGATGGGTCTGTCTAGCTCGCAGCTTTTCAAACACTCCGATTTTATTTTGAATGTCATGTTTTGGATTTTACTATACAGTATAAGGAACATATACAAGTATATACAGTAATACCTCGCAATGCGTTCGGGATGCGTTCCTGGAAAACCGAGCGAGAAAATCAGCGTGTTGTGGGGGTTATTGTGTGGGCTGGACGCAGGAGTCCCCTTGGGGACTCCCGCAACACGCTGATTCGCGATACACTCGGTTTTCCAGGAACGCATCCCGAGAGTATTGCGAGGTATTACTGAATACATATGCGTGCATGAACCGATAGTAATATGCTTATTTCTCATTCGTGAAGCCAATCTTTCAGTGCAACCTGCATTTGAATGCAATTGAACTGCTTGTAATATTTACTTTTGACGAACCGAATTCATTTCTAGAAATCTTTGGTTTGGTTGTTGATGTAGAGGGCGATCTGATTCCTTTTCATGAATTCATTCGTACGTGGAAGACAGTGCCTCTCAGTACTAGATATCCACAGAACACTGAGACCAGTGCTGAGACTACTTCAGTGAAGCAAATCATGTCGAGATCAATAAAGCCTTTTTGCAGTATAAAACAAACTTGAATGATTTTGGAATATGTTTTAAAGCTCTTGGCATTTTAGTACTTGATATTTTTCCCTGATTGAGAATGCCTAATATTAGACGAGTCCGAGATCCATCCCTCGGTCCTGGTGCGAATTCGAATTTGTGAGTCGACGCGATAACTTATACGGGACTCTAGAGCCATGAAGCATATTGTAGTTTGCGTTTGTCTTAGATGAAGCAGATGATGGGTGAAGTGATGGTGAACCCGTCGACGGGTCGGCTAGATCCACCTCCCCCCCATCCGGCCCTATTGTCGTGGGAAACCCGATACACTCCCAATGAGATGCTGGAATTCATCAACTCCAAGAATTATCTGCCCTGGCTGGCAGTTGTCGTCTACATCGTCAGCATCTATATCCTGAGTGCATACATGAAGAATCGACCGGCCTTCTCGTTGAGGAAGCTTCTGGTGACCTGGAACGCGTTTTTGGCCCTCTTCAGCCTTGTCGCCACGGTGAGAGTAGGGGTCTCCTTACTCTACTCCACGCATCATTTTGGATTCGGCTATGCCACCTGTGCCATCGGGTAAGTTCTTAGAATAGTCTATAACATAACCATTTCTCTGCATTTACATTCAAAAGTGCATTCCTTTCTCGGATAACTCATCCAGATAACCAAAACGACGGAAATGATTTGTTGGCTCCTCATTTCCGTTCAATATGTTTTTTTTTTTACTTTTAATTTTTTTTTTGGTACATTTTTCTTTTCATGGATCACTCAATAATAGCAATGTCAACTTTCCCTTTAGTAATGAGTAGCTTCATTCAAAATTCAACTCATTTCCTCATGTACTCATGATGTATTCGTGAAATTATCATTGTCTACGACTTGGTCTTAGCCCTTTTGGTTTATTTAGTCCATCGTGAAAATTTTCTAATGAAGTCATTCCCAAAATTTTTATTCAGGAGGGCGGAAGAAGACCCAATAGCCCTGATGTGGACCATTATCTTCTCCTTCTCCAAGATCCTGGAATTTGGTGACACGTACTTCATATTGCTTCGAAAGCAGAAGTTGATCTTCCTTCATTGGTACCACCATGCTTCCGTCCTCCTCTTTACTTGGTATAACACCGCCAGGGCGGAGGAGGCCGGCGCGTGGTTCAGCGTCATGAACGGCGGAGTTCACACCATCATGTACTTCTACTACTTCCTGAGGGCCTTGAAGATCTCCGTGCCCCGGGGATTCATGATGTTCATCACCATCTCTCAAATCGCCCAAATGGTCTTCGGCATGATGCTCTGCGGTTACATCACCTACACGAAAATGCTCGGTTACCCGTGCAACATGTCCAACCCGATCCTGACCTCCGCGGTTTTGATGTATTTAAGCTATTTTGTCCTGTTTGTCGACTTCTTCCGCAAGACCTATCGAAAGCCTCAGGCCGTTCTGAAACGACGTAAGTCTTCCTCCTGTGACGTTAAAAACATTAATGGCATCCAGGTTATAAGCCCCGTTAAGCGATTTGAAAACGGGGACTCAACGATTAGTCGGAGGAAATCGTTAACTGGAATCTCTTATACTGGATTCTCCCAAGGGTAGCTCCAAAGCGATAGTTGTTCAGATGATTTTCACTCTCACTGTTCATTACGCTGGAAACCTCCACGACTCCATTCAGTTACATGCTAATTTTTTGAAAAATCCTTTCAAAGAATAGGAGTTCTCTGATTCGTCGTTGGATCAATCCCGGTACAGTTAAGAATACCTTATAGGCAAAATGATCCTTGTGCATTCTGAACTGCAAAAAAATAGAAGGCTGTGAGAGCCTCCCCCCACACATTTTATTCACAATTTTTTTTTTTTCTGCATTAGGTACCAAGTAATTTCAAGGTATTTGTCCGTGAATCTCTCCGGTATATATTAAAGCAAGTGGCGCAAAGTTAGGCCAAATAATTTTCAAAAATGTAATCGAAACAAATGAACTTTAATGTGTCTAAGGGGGCCTCTCCTGTCTTTATTGAATTAGACATCGATATTTTGCTGTCTGTTCTGATTTCATCTTGGAAAGGTGGATCGAAGAACCTAGTCTTAGAGTCCAAGTATAAAATCAAATGCAATTTCGGAAGACCTTGGACGTCATCAAACATTTTATAAGGATGAAGCGGGGACAAGCCAAGGAGTGTTGGTCAGTGACATCTTGTGAAACTCTGGACTTAATAGGGTTTAAAGCGTTTTGAAGCTGTAGCATCGTTCAGTACCTTCACTTGAGAACATGCATGAGCTGCGAGCATGATTTTTCCCTGATGGAAAGCAGAACACTTATTTAGCGTCGCCTATTCCCCTCCCCAAATAAAAAGGCGAAGCTGCTTTCGCATGTATCGTAAAAATGTTAGAATTTCCACTCTGAACCCTCTTACGCATGATGATCATCAAGAGTGAATCCGTTTTTGATTGGTTTGTTGGGTCGACTGGCAATAAAAATGAGCTTTTCATCCTCTACTTTCATTGTTACTTCTATTTGCGCTAATTTATAAAGACTCATAAGGCGCAATAGTGCCTTATTATAAGCATAAATACAGGAAGACTTATTCCAACGCGACCTTCCATTCCACAAGCTTATCACGACCGCGTATAAACCCTCAAATCTGGTTATTATCACCTTTCTTCAAAATCTCCGAGTCCATCAAATTACAGTCGACTCCGCATAAAGGAATATCGCTTAATGGAATATCATCGTACAGTCCCGATTTACGGTACGATACAGCAGATAGCATCGGTTATTGGAATACTCCGGATTATAGAATAATTTTCGCTGGTCCCGAGAGTATTCCAATATGCGGAGTCGACTGTAATTTATAGCTATCCAGACCTTCAGGATATATGAATGAACGTGGTTGATAATTTTCTTCTTGTACTTCTGGCAAAGCAGGATATAAACGGACTGAGCAGAAAATATTGGACAGATTTAGTTGCGGACAAGGGGAGGAGTCTTCCAGTTTTAACTTATCTAGTGTGAAGTGCTAAGCATTCAAAAAGCACAGATCGACCTACAGCTGAAACTATCGGACAGATTTCAACAGTAATTAAATTCCATTAAAATTGCAACACAGACAAATTAATTACAACCATTCCAGGACGTGGTCTTTAAGTCACATTCCATTACATAATTAGTCATTTAATGCCATGAAGGTCATATGTTCACCCTTCTGAGTCACTCGGAGTATATTTGTGTTTGTAGATATGCGTCAGAGTGTGGCAAAAAATCCCCGACTTTTAATCAATTCCCAACTCCGTTCTTACTAAAGCTATTTTCACGGTATGAGACCTATGCATTGGCTGATCTTTTCCCAAGAAGCATATTCGATTCTATTCAGTCATTGCTATTAAGAAGAACTTGGATATTGAAAAGGAAGGGAGCGGGTAGTGGCAATGGAGTGGAGGAAACGCATTCGTGCTGTCCACGCACATCTATAATGTTTGAATTTCTTCCTTGGCTGGCCTGTTGCCATAAGTCTCTTTACCAATTAATACGCATCGACACAGAGCTTGCTCTTCGTATCTTTAAACTTTCAGCTCGATTACGTTGGAGGAGGAGGGTCACCTCCTTAGGCACTCCGAAGCGACTGGAATCCCTGTTCAATTCCTTTCTTAGATTTCTTTTCTATCCATTTCTTTCAGGACTGCGAACGCGGATAGCATTTTGATAGTCAGTTGGAAACATATCAGCCTCTGCGGAATTAAAGTGTCATGAAAATGGCTTCAGTGAGAGCAAGCACAAACAGGTCAGAGTCCTTAGATGATGTGATGTGATTTGGATTTGACATGAGAACGAACATTTTCGAGGTATTCGGGAGCTTATCTAAATGCCTAACATCCATTACCCGAAAGCAGCATTATTGAACGCTGGAAATGCTTAAGAATCAAATGGACGACGCTCGAAACATCGAATAAATTAAACTATATCATATTTCGTTGGAGCAAAATCTCTTCGGTGAAAGCTGACTTTCGTCAAGTGGTTGAAATACCTCGTACAAGAAAAAATCACTAAAAGTTGTGTTAACGACGTGGTCATCTGTGTGTTTCAAGCTACTTGGAAACATATCACCTTTGGAATCATACGTTTCATAGCACAGTCAGGGAGGTAAACGACTTCGTCATATCTGAAAGTCTAGGACGGCCTATGCTGCATACATCTCAGATGGAAAAATGATGAGAAAGCCCTTTCAAGAGAGGCAAAACACAACGATACTCATAGGCACATGTGTTCTACAGAACTCTCTTGTTCTTGTCAATATTTAATTGACAATTGACCCTTTGCCTGTTGCCGCACCCAACTTGAAATAGCATGCTCTGTCGTCGACTTTTTTTCCGGAGCTTTGATAAGAAGGCGTAGAAATGCACAAGTTTTCTGAATAATGATAATGAATGATATGCAGGGTGTGATGAAACCTTAGACCCCAGACATGATTCAAAAGTGCAACACACAGTTGTACTACTTCGTTTAATAACCAGAGCGCAGCTGAGCGGGAACATGCAGCGAAGCAGTCAAAATAAAGAATATGAAGTAATGTCAAAATTTATTTTCAAAGATTTCCCCTTATTTTCAATCCCCCCACCCCATATATTCCTCTTCCCTCTCCTCGGGACTCAATGATATCGATAGGCCAAGGCCTAACTCGAGAACTGTATTCACGTCAGCAATTTTTGTTCCGCAACAGTGGCCCGTATGAATAAAAGTGAGTTGGAGTTTGCAGCTCGGAGCTGCAGCTCCATGCCTGAGAGCTCTAGCTCCCTCCTTCGTGAAAGATGGCATTTCGTATGAATAAAAGGGAGCTTTGAGCTAGAGCTCGTAATATTCTGAGTCTGCCAAGGGGCAGACTCAGCTAAGAAGTCTCCTTGCTGTTATGTGATTTATGATGACATGTGATAACGCCAGGATGCAGTTTTCGTTTTATAGATCCGTAATGGCAACAATAATGCCCCTTATAAAATAAATTTTCTGAATGTTCTGATTCTAAGGCCTAGAAATTCCTCTCTAACATGTAAATCTCGGTTATCTTCTATGCTCTGGATACAATTCCTACCTTTTATAGTAAGTTCTAATTTCTGAATCCTACTCGTATGCGAAGTTTTTTTCTTCGTCCACTTGTGGAATACCTGTTGCCAATAATTTATAGAAAGTTACGAACTTACAGTATAATGTGGAACGGTGCATGTGAATGAGTTGTAAATGGCACGCCTGAGGATTTCATCGTGTTTCATAACCTCCCGATAATGCGAAACTTTCTTCATTGCGTGAACGTTGATCTTGTGGAGGGAAACCAAGATTTACTGTTTTTGTACTGAATCGTGGTAGAGTCTGACTTACCTCTGAAATCCCACAAGTGTGTTCTCCTTGTAAAACGGGATTCAGAGCTTTGATTCCTAAAATAGAAGTCCTTTCATGTGGATTACCCTGCCAGATACTGGGAAAATGAAGAGCAAGATAGTTTGATCTCTCCGTTTGGTGAAGAACTTGCTATTAAATCATGCACGCCTTGCCTTACACAGAGGAACCAAGTTTTCACGGTGCTGGCGGCCAATACTCCAAGTATTAATACTTGATAAGTTATTCCTAATGCGATTTCGGGCAACTCAGCTTTCTGTGATTTCTCTTTGAGAAGGGAGAGAGCGAAAGAGAGGGACGAGAGTGAGGAAATATCAGAATTATTGGAGCTTGAACGAAACTTTCTTCATTTAAAACGGAGGAAAAGCTCAGACTCAGCTCAAGCTCTGATGTCAAGCTGAGCTCAGGTTTTATTCATACGGCCCAGTATCTCAACACTCGACTTACAGGGACAATTAGACCTATAAGGGTGTATCTCGGGGTTTTTGAGACATCTCAGTGCGGAAGTGTAACGTTCGGCTGATTGTAGTCCTATTCCGACATTCACGAACCACTTGAGAGAGGAGGCGTAACGTTAGGCCAATCTGGAGTTTCTCGAATTGTCTCAACTCGGACATCTGCGGACAGACTATCTCCTGAATTCAATTTCATGTCGGACACCGTCCCATTAATTCAGGAATTTCCGAGTTCGACATGTCCATATCCCACAACATCGATCGACCACCGCTAACCACTGTTTCATTCTCATCTCATTCCATGAACTCCGCATAAAAGTATATCCTGGGGTGCTGCACGCACAGTGCTGCGCAGCCCTTGTACCCCAGCACGACAATGCTGCATGGACTTTCTTTAGAGTAAGACTTACCTCCAAAAGAGGTTCATTCAGCCCTGTCGGTCCAATGATTCCTAGTCAACCATCAGATCACTGTGCTTAGACACCCTACTTATTCACCGGATATGGTACCATGTAACTTTTTTTAATTCCCAAAATAGAAATCTGCTTAGAAAGGAAGTCCTTTCGAAGACATTGAAGACATGAAGAAAAATTGACTAAGCTACTGAAAGGCGTTGCAGTTGAAGACTTCCAAGGCTGCTTCCAGAAACTCCAAAATCGATGGCAACACTGTATTGATGCAGAGGGGGAGTATTTGAAAGGGAATCCACATTAGACGCTCACAAATGAGCTTTGTTTTATGCAATACAGGTCTACGAACTT